CTGACACAGGCAAGGCTGGTTTCTGGCAACATGTTCATGAAATCACTGGATGAAGAAACGAGCGCCCGGCTATATGCCAAGTGATTACGAATATCGAAGAGAAGAAATCAAGGGTGCCCTCAGCCTGAGGGTCAAAATGTCTTCATCTTAGTGGGTTTGCCGACATGCTGTCGGAAACTCTCTTGCGGCAACTGAGGGGCTCGACCCTAAGTCCAGCCCCCTAAATTTCAAGAAACCTGCCCCCCAGAAATCCAGCCCTTCACTCTCATGTTCGTGTTTTCGGGGGAGAGTGTTTAGAAACTGGTGGGCTACATTTCTAGAATCTGAGGGCTGGATTTCGTATCGTACTTCAAGGGAAATTATTGAGGCACTCACACTGCAACCGAAGAACCTGGAATAAGAGATTGCGTAATTGCCCTCAAGTTGTCGAGGACCTTGCACCCCGTTTAGACTTGGCCGAAAATGAGGACCCACCCTCCCCCCACCGAACCCCCCCAGCCCCCCCCCCCCCCCCCCCCCACCCCCGCCGTCACTCCTGAACGTTGAACCGTAGTTACGAGCCACTTGTAGGCCGCCCCTGAATTCTAAAGAGTCGAATGGAGCGATGTTCAAGGGGTTTAGGCAGGATCCCACGCAGATGAAATTCCAGACTTCCAATCGTTCCCAATACTGTTCAGGAATCAGGTTTTGTGCGGGTTTTCATGTGTGCAAGTCCTCACTTAGGCACGGGATGGGAGCGGCCTTCTTCGCCAAGACGCCGTGGCGGGTGCAGAGCGAGCTGGAGTAGAGCTCTCGGCCGAATGCTACCGAGGTTCGCGTCAAGGCTGCATGAGAACAAGTGCGGTCACAGACAGATGTGCAGCAAGCAAGCCCCCGACTGGTCACAAGACTTGTGGCAGCCTCATAATATGATGCCAAGGGGCCTCATGACACTGCTTTGTTGATAGCGCTACCAGTACGAGTCTCGTGGAGAGGCGTCGTTGCTAAAACCGGGAGGAAGGAACTGAGCTCACGCCGGTGCTGTTGAGAGTTTTGCGCCTGTTGGCACTGTGGTTCAGGTGCGCACTGAGGAGGAAGGGAATGTTCCTTCGGTGCCTTCCGCAACGAGGAACGCTTTGCAAGCAGGCCTCGCGCCTCTGGACATCTCTAGACATGTCTGGACTGTCTTTAGACGCTAGTCGCTAGAGTCCAAGACGCAGTAGATGTGCTGATGCGCCTGTGCGTGGGGTACTGATCGGAGTAGTTGGGATCCAGCAAACCACGCCTTGGGTGCAACAAAAGGAGCTTCAGAGACGCAAGATCTGCCATGAATAAGCTTAGGTCCTCAACTGATGGCCCCACGTCCGTACTCCCTTCACGTGCATAATAAGTTGACTACAGATCTGGAACAGCTTCATCCCTAAGCCCGAAGATGGAGATGCTTCTGTACATGCGAAGGTTGTGCGACGGCATCACTTCGCACTATTCAACTTACCCATTTGCAGACCTATGTTTTGCAGCCATAACTCCCAGGGCCCTCACCCAGGTGAGAGGAGAAGAGTGAGGATGAGTGTCAAGATGAGCGCATGGAGCTCCACATCCTGTGGCCGGCAGCTACTTGGACCCAATTCTGGTGCGATGATGTGCGGATTCAAGGCTTAAGTGCGTGAAGCTGATTTGATGCACAGCCAGAACGGCCAGAACCCTCGATTTTCGCAATCTCCCTCTACAAGATACAAGCTACCCTGCTTACCCGAGGCTGATCCCGCAAAGTCAGCGCTAGCCGCTAGCAAAGATGGATGCCGGCCTGATAAATTCTCCGTCGCTGCCTCCCCTCGAAATAGAACACCTTCGGCAGTGTGACGGAAATGCCAATTTTCATCTTAGAGAACTGGCACTGCACAAACACCAACACCACCAGAACCGCAGCATCAACAGCATGCTCTGCGTTTCTACACGAATCTTTCCTTTCCGTGTCGGCACGACGAAGATGAAATGGTAGCTGTAGTCCCTACAGTACACCTCTGGCACTTAAGCCTTAGCCGTAGACCTTAGGCCCAAAACCGGCCACAAACAAAAAAGTTGTCGCTTATCTGGGCGGAGCGGAATGACCTTGGCCTTGACACTGCTGAGCTTCCTGCGTTCTGGTGAATCACACCGACGCAGAGGTCCGCCTGCCCAACAGCTCGCGAAGGCTTCTATCTAACTTCATGTTGTTTCAATGGAGCAGCCACCCCTCTGAGCTCAGAACCGGTGGCGCAGGAGGCCTGAGCTCCGAGCGAGACTTGACGCAGCTTAGGGGCGGCTAGCATGCCGGCCGGGATCCGAAAAAAAACAACTCCCCACATTCAAGCCTCAAGAGTCTCAAGAGCTTGCGAGCGCCTGTCTTGCCCAGACACTACAGCAGCCTAGACATGCCTAGACTTTAGCCCATCCTCATACTGTATGTCAGAGTACTTCTCGACATTCAGCAGCCGGAGAATTGCCGGTCTCCATTGGAAACCGTCAAACTGAGAGACAGACGGCGGCACGTCCAAGCCCGGCCCGGAGCCTGCTTGCAAAGCAGCGAGCGCGACTCACAAAGATATGGAATCTACCAATGATCTTCTCGGTGCATTGAGGGAACCCTGTCGCTGAGACATGCAGAGATCACGCAGGGCGCATGGCGCTTGACTCCCCAAGATGCCATGTGTGAGGTTGCAAGATTTTGAAGTTGTAGGCAGACCGCTCATTTGTCTCCCGCGCGGGCCATGACATGTAGCGTTGTCAACATGTGCTACAAGTCCAGCCTGTCTTGGGACGACCTACGGCTATAGACTGGGCAAGTCCTGGAACCAGACTCCACGCACCGAAGTTGCTTGGATTATTGATCCTTGAAATATAAAGATTATAAAGCAGCTACGACAAAAAGACGAGCAACGCCCGGATCCAGGTCTGCAGCGGCTTGGGAACACGCTTTTGAGTCGACAGAGTCTAGATTGTTCCCCCCCAGTCCCTGAACTCCGATGCAGTCTTCCCGGCCGCCTGCTCTACCACACAGGTATGGCTTGAAAGACGGAATAAGGAAAGAACGTACGCATCGTACGCATCTTGGGGTAGTACTTGTTTCTTCTCCTGAAGGGTTCTGCAGCTCTGCCATGCCTGTAGATGCTGCCCCGAAGCCCGCACAGCCCTCCCTCAGCGGCCTGCAGACAGGCGCACTAGCTTGGGGTGCCTGCTCAACTCTTCGTACTTCATATTACTTCATGCTTCACACCATTTGCAGCGCCTTCTATGTAGGAGAGCTGAGAATTGGGGCATCAAAGGCCTGAGAGCACCCAGGTGCTTCTGACACATGAGTCCCTCGGAGTCCCTCGAGCTACTGTCGACAGAGCTTTGCAACGCTTTGCAGCTGGCGCCGACGGATGCAGACCAGGCATTAGTAATTCTGAGAAGAGGATAATTGCAAAAATGATTCAAACACCACGGCTGTACCAAAAGACCCGAACCGCGATGCAGAAGCCTCCTTCATATTCGGTGCTCGTATCCTCCTCTGCAGCATGGGTGAGACTTGCGCAAGCCAAGCACTGCTTTGCGAGACCGGCTGCAACTGCGGAATACGGAATTGTGGTCAACGGCACTGCTGCTAGTTGCTGCTAGTTCAGCAGAGCCCAATAAGGACTTGCCAACCATGCCGTGACGCTGAACACCAGGTCCCAGCATGAGCCCGGGGCGGGCAGCTGCAGCATCACTCAAGCTGTTCCTCCTGTCGCTTCGTTCTCACTAACAAAACAGAGATGAAGGTAAGAACACAGACACAATGAGCACCTAACCGGCAGCCATGGGCGTGTTCCAGCACATGCGACAATGTCGATATCCGTGGCTGTAGCTCCAGCAACGGCAACAACCGACAAATATTGGACACTACCAATTTTTGGAGCCTGTGATGCTTCCAGGACTGAGGGAGAAAGACTTCTTCAAAACTTCACGCTTGGATGCGATCTCCTCCCCACTGCTTCAAAAGCCTCCGAAACCTCAACCTTGTAAAGGGCAGGGTGCCTCCTCCAGCAGCTCCGCTGATGGGGCCTTGCCACGGCGAAACAGAGCTCCCACCGGCGTCCCACCTCTTACAAAACGAGGTTTGTCGACAGCTGAGCCCGTGACCTCTCTAGCCGCGCTTCCTTCACAGCATGCGCTCATGCACGTCTGTTTTGCGTGTGCACCCAAGGTTTGACCAGGAGTCTTAACGTTGGAACGCCTTAATCGTCAATTTCTAGCCCTGGGCTGCAAGAGCTGTGAGACTGTGACGTGCAATTCCAGGAATGTTGGCAGTACTTGTCTGTCCGAGACTGGAGTGAACCAGCTCTCAATACTCTTCCTCACAAAGAGCGCTTGCTGAGTAAATGTCTAAGCCTCTAAGCCTGCCATCCTGCTCTGGTGGCCACTTCACCATGCCAGACAACGTTTCCTTGCCCTGTATGGTACCACCCTTGGAACCCTTCACATCCGACCACACATCGAAGCTTGCTATTCTGCAATTCCCATTGCCTGGACGATGGCAAGAAGAGGAGAGCCTTGCGCTAAAGGCTTCAGCTCGGGAAGCCTCGTCCGCGGAAGAGCCGCCGGCCAAGAGCCACTGATGCCTGGGCCGGACAGGAAAGTTTCCTAAAGCTTCCTCGCATGTCTCGCGACTCTGTGAGAGGGCTCCCGGCAGGAACTGCAAGGGCAAGCAGTCCAACACTGTAGGCAACGATTGCCCAAGTGTGATCCTGGAAAAGGGTTCCCCCATTCTTGCAGCGTTAACACAAGATTACACAAGGAGTGATTGCTTTGGGTTGGTCCATTGCATGTCTTTATTTGCGGCTCGTTATGGCTCGTGACTCCGAGGTTGTTGAAGATTATTTCTCACTTGCTCTCGGACTCGATGTACAAATGCCTTAAAACTTACTTATAACCGTTGTATGGACTTTGAAGCTGAAGTGCAGGGAGCAAAGAGAGAGGCGAGATAGAGCTGGTTTTTGAGCTCTTCTTGTCTGCTCAGGTCACTGTCCAGCACCTCGGCGAACCACCTCGGCGAGGTGCCCCTTCTCTACTACATGGGTACAGTCTCTTTGCGCCTGTACACTCCTGTACACTCTTGGTGGCCTGTCTATCACATGCTGGAGAAGCCTCGAAAACCATAGGCCGCAGCGGCAAAAGAGGCCGACCTCCTCAAACATGTTCTCCCTCCCTTCTCTTCTCCGGAGTGACGGTGGCGCGAAGAAGTGAGGGAGAGTGTGTGGCTTGAGCGTTGTCGTTCTCCATTCCGCCGACCTTGTGAAGGGCCCCATCGATGTGGGAACGGCCCTTTCAGGGAGAATCCAGACTCCAGCTGGCTGGTCAGCTTCAGCCGAAGCCCTCAGCTTCAAAGCCCCCACTCCATCTTGGTGCAGGGGGCACATGCTCAGATAAGCCATCCTCTGCGAGCATCGCTCGAATTATGGAAGATGTGCTGATTCCCGCGCCTGCCTTCGTGGTACAATGTATTGTAGTATGGCAGAGGACTAGCAAATGGTGGTAGAAATTCGACGGCGCAAGTGAAGTCAGGTTGAAAGCGTCAAGATGCGATTAAGCTCCTTGCTCAAGGAGGTCGCGAACAGATTGAATTGGGGCCCAACACCTGCGTGACATCAACCGTAACACTGCTGCGTCGCTCTAGTTGTCGATAGTTCGTGATGCAAATAGTGCAGGCTTGCACGTCCAGTCTAAGACAGGTAATTATGGGCACAAGTGGCAAGACACGGAATCAACCCCATGTCACATGACAAATTCTGTACACTCCATGCTTGACCTCAGTGTATCATACACTCGCGTGCAATTGTCTAAGGCTTGAGTCTAAGGGATGTCGCTGCTCTTCATGAGCGCAACACCAAAACTTGCAGTGCTTCTTCAGGGATCCGATGCCTTCTGATTCGGTCGTTTCACAGGATTTGGGATGCGATGATATGAGCCTTCTTGAATCAGAATGCTTTGGATACTCCCATGGCACCTCTTGGCATGCTTTGACAGCAGAATGCCTTGCTCTATCGCGCCCAACGCGATGCAATGTTGTGTGCATCCTCGGCAAAGAAGATGGGAACCGGTGGACTTGACACTTTGACATCTTTGACACTGCAATGCCTCACCAGAACGCTCTGAGCTGTAGCTCCTTACGTCCGCCTGTGCTGCCAGGCCACACCGTGGCCTTGCATCGTTGCGCAAAGCGAGGATCCGCCTGCGAGAAGTCACGAATTGTTTGATGTTGTTTGGCTCGAGAGAGCCTTTGCCTGCTCTACACATCGCTGCAAACGCCACAACAGCACTGCTGCGAAACGTCACAGGAAGACAACATTCCCCCAGTACCCTGGAGGTGAAGGTGCGCGTGTGTGTGTGTGTGTGTGTGTGTGTGCGCGCGCGTGTGTGCGTGCGTGCGCGTGCGCGTGCGCGTGCGCGTCCGCGTGCGCGTGCGCGTGCGCGTGCGCGTGCGCGTGTGCGTGTGTGCCTGTGCCTGCGTGTGCGTCGTGTGCGTGTGGTTGTGTGTGTGTGTTGTGTGTGCGCGTGGTGTGTGTGTGTGTGTGTGGTGTGGTGTGTGTGTGTGTTGTGCCGTGCGCGTCTCTGTGTGTGTGTGTGTGTTGTCTCTGTGTGTGTGTGCGTGTGCGTACATGTCTCTGTGTGCGTGTCTCTGTGTGTGTGTGTGTGCGGGTGTGTGTGTGTGTGTGTCTCTGTGTCTCTGTGTGTGTGTGTGTGTGTGTGTGTGTCTCTGTGTGTGTCTCTGTGTGTGTGTGTGTGTCTCTGTGTGTGTGTGTGTGTCTCTGTGTGTGTGTGTGTCTCTGTGCGTGTGTGTGTGTGTCTCTTTGTGTGTCTCTGTGTGTGTCTCTGTGTGTGTCTGTGTGTGTCTCTGTGTGTGTCTGTGTGTTTCTGTGTGTGTCTCTGTGTGCTGTGTGTGTCTCTGTGTGCTGTGTGTGTCTCTGTGTCTGTGTCTCTGTGTGCTCTGTGTGCTCTGTGTGCTCTGTGTGCTCTGTGTGCTCTGTGTGCTCTGTGTGCTCTGTGTGCTCTGTGTCCTCTGTGTGCTCTGTGTGCTCTGTGTGCTCTGTGTGCTGTGTGTGCGGTGTGTGCGGTGTGTGCCGTGTGTGCCGTGTGTGCCGTGTGTGCTGTGTGTGCTGTGTGTGCTGTGTGTGCTGTGTGTGCTGTGTGTGCTGTGTGTGCTGTGTGTGCTGTGTGTGCTGTGTGTGCTGTGTGTGCTGTGTGTGCTGTGTGTGCTGTGTGTGCTGTGTGTGCTGTGTGTGCTGTGTGTGCTGTGTGTGCTGTGTGTGCTGTGTGTGCTGTGTGTGCTGTGTGTGCTGTGTGTGCTGTGTGTGCTGTGTGTGCTGTGTGTGCTGTGTGTGCTGTGTGTGCTGTGTGTGCTGTGTGTG